TATATAACATTTTTTTTTTGATTTTATTTCTATGTAAATTTCAATTAGTTTTTTGATTCTATTTTTATGTGAAAAAATCTGATTAACCAAAAATTTTCACTCTATTTCTTTTAATTCAGTAACATAAGCATTAACTACATTAAGAAACCTATTTTAATCTATTTAATTTAAGATAGCATTAATATGAATAAGATGTTTTGTATTAATTTATTAAAATGGATATCAATAATAAAGATACCCTCTATTTAAAGGGGAAAAATAAAAAGATGAGGGATTATTTAAAACAAAAAATTAGTTGTCAAGAGATGAATTCACATGTGAAAATAAATATAAAAGGTAAGAAATAATAAAGATTTGGATTTTGTTAATGAAATTGATTGCTGCTTTTGGTAAATAACATTTAATAAATGAGAATTTGGCTGCATTTCAATTATCATAATTTTTATCATAACTACAAAATAAAATATTACAAAGCACTTACAATTATATATTCCCTTTGGTAGATACAGATTTCTCTGATAACCCTTTCTAATTTAAAAAGAAATTGATCTTAATAATGATATAAAAGTATAGCATTATTTAGCAGTAGGTGTAATTAAAAATTTATTTAGAACTTTTATAACATGTTATGAAGATTTGATGGAATATTACTATGAAATATAAGAATCAATAAATCATTTTTCATATGGTAAGACTTTAATTAGAATATGGAAATATTAATAAGTAATCATCTAATTATTTTGGTGTTTAATTTAGAAATTTAATATTTGATAATTGTCCATTGGATATTAATTATTAGTCCATCAATTATTTTAGATAATTTATTTACATGTTTAGAGTGCTTTTAAATCCAACACATTGATATTTTATTGGAAACTACCATATATAAAACCAATTAATGTTATAACTCGATTTATAAAATTTCGACACTTAGAGACAAATTTATTCTTAATTATCATAATTCATTAGCAGCTATTTTGAAAAATTCAACTATTTTGTTTTTAGATTAAACATTGGAAATATATTAAATTTAAGTTTAGTCAAATTAATTTGTTATTCTAAATTTATTTAAATTATTTAAACTCAAGAAATTAAATCTTACCAATTTACTTTAAATTGTATAATCTGATTCATATCTTCATTGTCTTCTATCACTCAAAACATCTCTTGATCGAATACATAAAGCTTGGCTTAAGTTTATCATTTAATAATTCCAAATATCATGATTCTACATTCAAGCATTATACTTATTTTTAAATTTGCTTAAAGAGAGAAATATATAGTGTATATGCTTAGGAAAGATGACATCAAAGAAAAAGTGATGGGATTCAAAAGCAATCTATCAAGAAAGTGAAAGCCATCACTCATATAAATAGCATTAATTAGGCAACATTCAAAGATTTAAGTAAAGGTTTAATAAATCCGTCAATATTGCTGGTGTCTTTACTTTCAAAAATATTTTTTATAACTAATTAACTTTAAAATTTGAAAATATAGAGTCAGCACTTTTAATAAGAATTGCCAAAACGATAATTTATAACAACTGTTTAAAAGCAAATGATTCATTGTAAAAGGAAAATATATGAACAAATTTTTATAATAGACAATTTTTATCCTTATTTATTAATAAAATTCCTAACCTAGCTATTATAAATTGTACAAACATTGTGATATTTTATATTTATTATTCCAATCAATATTTCAAAAACATTATTATAATAAGAATTATTTGACTAAGGTTTAAATAATTGGTTCCTAAATCTAAATAAAAATTATTGAAAATAATGAAGATTTTTATTGTTATTTGATCTATTAAGAAATGAATGGATTGATCATAGTAAATTTTCATAACTACATAAAAAATTATTCATCATTTAAATTGATGAAGAAAAGTAACTCAACTTATTTCTGATGAAAGCAAAGCCAATATATATTTCCTTTGATAGTTTAGTAATTTAGTTATTTATGTAGGCAATTAATAAATGTCCTTTTTTTACTTACTTTTTGAAAGAATATCTTTTCATTATCTTTTTAAAAATGGAGTAAAAATATTATTAATTTTTTCAGATTTAAAGTAAGGTTCAAATTTTATTTAAATATTAAAAGAAAAAGTCTTAATGATTAATCTTTTGATGTAATTTCCAAGACATTTGAACTATTTTTAATTAATAAATTTATATTATTTATGATTGTTATAAATGTTTAAATAGATCATTTCCAATTCGAAATTCGAATATTTCCTTCTGATTTTCCTCAAAAGGCAATATTTGTGTCCTAACTATTCTACTCTTTCAGTTAAACTCGCAGTTGAAAGAACTTTTAAATTTAATTATTATGAAAAATTTAATAATCTAATGAAATTGTAGCAATCAAATAAATTATAATTAATAAACTTCACATTCCTTTATTTCTGGTTTCATTTATCCAAACAGATAAGAACTTTGCTAACCATCCTGATATTAATCAAATTCAAATGTCTTACCTAATTTTGAATAACCATCCTTAAAATTAGCTTATATCATAATATCATTACCACCTCCAAATACTGGACCAAAATTTGTATGGCTATATATAGCCTAATCTGAAGTCTTCTATCTCAAAGGATATACTTAATCATGATCTTATGAAAAGATAAAAGATGAATATGAGTCATCGTAAATAGAACCTTTATTAGCTTCCCATTTGCATGGAGTGTATGCTCCAAAAATAAAATTGCTCTTTGATTAAAATATCATTAGCAAATTTGATTTTTCAATTACTTCTTCCCAAAATGATTATGCATTTAATCCATTTTAGCTACCTTAATATATCTTATTGGAGCTTTTTATAATTTTCTTTGTTTTCTTTTATAAAATAAAAAATAGTTTAATCCAATAATCATCTTTTAATAGTGTTGGTTTTAACCAAAGAATCGGAAGGTTTAGTTCTTAAAATTATTTATTTTTTTCAAGTATAAGGTTTTACATCTCTTATGTTTTTTTTGTTTGACTATCCAATTCCAGTTCTAATTTTTCTTTATCTTCTTAGAGTTTACTTATGGAATTTTTTTAGAGATTTATATCTGAATCCAAATTTTAAATCCTGATATTTAAATCCTTTATATTTTTCTCATTTTACTTATCATTCTCTTATATTTTTTGTTCCAATTTTTTTAGTTCTTCCTTTTTTTTATTTAATTCTTCTTATTATTTCTTTATTAAATTATTCAATTCTTAATCATTCTACTGCTTAACTGTTTAATTGTTTATCCAACTTTAAATTTAAAATAAATTTTGGTTTATTGTTTATTGTTAAATTATATTTTGCTTATTTTACTTATCATTCTCTTCGATTATTTGTTCCAATAATTCTTATAATTCTGGTTTTTCATTTGAAAAATTTAATTCTTCTTCTTATTTCTTTATTTACTTATTTAAATCTTAAACATTCAACTAAACAGTTTAATTTTAATTTTTCATCCAATCTTAAATTTAAAATAAATTTTGGTTTATTGTTTAATGTTAATTAAAAGATGCCTATTCTAAAAATACTGCACATCCAATCCATTTGATCAATAGGAATAAATATAAGAAGATTAACTTTAATAAATTTGATTTAGATTCTTAATTTCTAGTTGATATGGAGAACTCATTTTTAAATTCATTTATTTCTTTTTATCTATTATAATTAATGAATTATTACTATTGATTAAAAAAGTCTTATACTCTTTAATTTGTATTTGAATTGCACAAAGTTAATTAAGCTTCTATTTAATTTTGGAAAGATAAATTTTTTGGATTGCTGATCTCTTCTGCAAACTCAATCGCTTAATCTAAAGTTAATTCATCAAAATTTTTATCTAATTGCTGAGCTGATGAATTTATTGCATCTACACATTTAACTTTCTCCTAATTATTATAACGCTTAACATCATCTACTTGATTTATCATTCTCCTTTTAAAACCATCTATATAATCATTTTCATCTTCCTCTTTTTTATTTAATTCTTTGATACTATTAGAAATTAACTTCTTCTTTTCAGATTGATTTTTTTCCCATTATTACTTAAAATTTTCTATTTATTTGTATTTTATTGGATGTTGTTCTATGCAATCATAGCAGGCTAATCTATTTGCAATTAAAGAAGTTTTATTTAAGTCAACCATAATAGCCTTTTTTTTATGCGGCTCACATATTAAACTGATGTTCTCCTCCTATTTTTATTTAAGAATTAATTATTATGAGTAATCATTAATAAAGTCCTGTGCCCAGCTGTTAATTCCTTCCTCTATCTAATTTAATTTCTAATTTATCGCATCAATACGCTATTTAATTTATATAGTTCCAAGTTATTTTATTAAAATCTCTTTGATTTGAAAATATTTGAAAAATTCTTTTTACATTTTTATGTACTTATCTTTAAATTAGTCATCTTGTGGTAAGTTGTTTATTTTATCGATATACTATTGAGTGAAATAGTTTATCTTTTCAATACTTTCTTAAAAGCACTGCAAAGATTTCTATATTCGAATTTCCAAACTCAGTTTGATTTGTTTTAATAACTCTTCTGACGTTTAGATTAATATTAGATTTTTTTACTTAAGACTGTCTAAATCTTAAATCAATTGTTATTTTAATTCATATATTTTGATTTTGGTTGAGATTTCATTTTATTTTTCCTCTTGGTCGAAGTTCCCAATTTCAAACTCTATTTATGAATAGTCATCAGAATTTGCAGTTTAATTGGGTTTTAAGTATTTAATTTCATCTATGTTAATAGATAGTTAGGCCATACAAAAAATAATTTAAATTATGAATATCTTATTTTCGCATAAAAAATTATATACATGCTTTTAAAATAAGTGTATACTTATATTTTTAAAAATAACCATTCTTCCTGTAATAATAGTTGGCCCATACAAACTATAAGGATCATCATTTTCTTTAGAAATTCTAGGAGAGTACAAATAGTATCCAGTTTAGTTGTTAATGTACTCAATAGGAAGAAGTTCAGAATCTAGAAAGAAAATTTTGGGTGAATTTTTTGAAATGTATTGGGTACCCAAGTTTGGCCTTATTATAACCTTAAGTTATATTTTTCATTAAATGTAGATCTACATACATCGTTCTACAGTGTAATTATTTTTATTCCTGATCAGGAATTTTTAATGAGATAGGATTTATAAAAATAATAACAATTATATACTATATCGGATTAATATCTTCAATATTAGAGCTTTGATAGAATTTAATATTGTTTTATAAAAAGGACTCTTCGTTACTTTTAAAGTGAAATTGTTCCAATATTAAAGAAATTTAAGCATCAAATAATTTACACTTTTTTGATACAGAGTTAATTCCCAATAGCAAATTTATACTGATTGTGGAGAAATTTTGAACTATGATTATCATCAAAGTTATCAGAGTAATTAATTCTAATATTCTAAGGCTTGGATAAAAACTACTGAAAATTAAAATAATAAGGGATTAAAAATTATATATTCAATTTTGTGAACAGCAGCAAAAATTGTAACAATCTAATGAGATAAAAAAATGAATTTCAAAAAGATACATACATAATTGTCATCATATTCTGATCTGAACGAATGTGTATCATAAAATAAAATTATAAATTAATTTGCTGAAAATTATTTATTGTAAATGAGTTTTTAATTTTAAATTACACAAAGCATAAACCTATAGTATTGTAATTAAAAAAGTGAATTAATAATTATTTTTGATGGACACAATTTTATTCGTATTTTTATTAAAATTAGTCTCTGTAATAATAATACAAAATATGTATGGTTAAAGCAGGCAACTTGAGAATAACTAATAAATAAAAAAATCTTACGGGCTGTGGCAAAGAGTGAAAGCTCTGCCACAGACGAAAATTTTTTTTCAATATTCTCCATAGAAAGAACATATTAATTATTTAACTACAGTTTATCAAAATGTGATGCAAAAAATTAATATTTATTTAAGGAAAAAATTGTCATATTAGCAACTTTAGAATCAATATAATTAAATTGTATTTTAAATGCTACAATGTTATAGATCAGGGTGGGTGTTTGAAAAAGTAGCTAGAATTTCCATGAATAAGGTTAAATATATTAACGCAGAGAAAGCTTTGAAAGGAATGAAATAAATAGAACCAAATCATTTAGAAGGGATGGATTATTAATCTTGTTTATGGCATCTAAAATAAATAATCAGAATTGACATACTTTACCTTTTCATGTTTATAAATTAGTATGCAAAATCTGAAACATCGTGAGCTATTGGAAATTGTTTTAGTTTAAGGAAAAAAAAGGATAATTCAACTTTTGGAAGAGCAATTTAATTAAACAAAGATTAAGATTAATCATATGCAAATACCTTTCAGATCATGAGTTTTCACTAAATATAAAATTTAATAAGCAAAGAAAGTTTATGATATACTAACTTCTTAAGATTAAAATAATATGATACTTGGTGGGGACAGTCATATATGAATATGGAATATAATTACACTAAACATTAAATTATTTAGAATTTAAATATTAAATAATAAATAGACTCAATTCTTAATCTAAAACTGGTAATCAAGGTTGTTTGACTCCTAATGAATATACTTTACCTAAATAAAGCAAAATACCCTCATTCAGACTCAGATGCAAATATACATTAATCTGAGATTATTCATTTGAACAATAACAGTAGTAATTACAAATATAGTTCAGAAGGAAATGATATATAAAAATAATTGAAGATAAGAATAGGGAAACTGAATTTCTAAAATAAGCAGAAGTTTAATACAAAATATTAATTACTTAATTATAATTAATGAATCAAGGTTATTAATCAGAAATAAGTAATTGTAGGAATAGACTCAAAATTATTTAAAAAGTAATATTGATTCAAAGAGTAAAGTTGAATAATATATGATAGAATTCAATAAAACTAATTTATAATATTAGGAATTTTTTTAAGAAAGAGACGAATACCTAAAAAATCTTAGGGAATACACATCAGATTATGATATCATAAAAATGTAATTATAAGGAAAAGATATTGGGATGTTATTAATGAAAGGAAGAATTTAAAATATGAAAAGTAATTATCAATAAGAATTAATTATCATAAATTAATGTATATTAATAAAAATTAAGAAAATAGAAATAGAAATAATTATTAATAAGAATCAATTTTATTGAATAGTGAAAATGATAATCTTAATATGAGAATTACTTAATTGGAAGAAAAATTGAAGAAATTAAAATTTAAACATCATAAGAATTTAAATAATAGATTGATTATTATGCAAATTAGTTAAATAGCAATGCAAATTATATTTAATAAATAAAATTCATTATTATAATAAAAACTATACTTTAAAGGTTTTTTAAAATTTCAATTTATTTATTTTTATGTTTTTTATTTTATTTTATTTAATTTAAAAATATATAAAAATTAAAATAATTAAAATATAATATAGTTAGATAATAAATGAAAGAGGATTTTATTAAAGAAAGAAGGTAAATAATAATTTATGTCTACAATAGAGTAAAATTCCTTTCCCAAAAAAGATTTACAAGATTACATAATCCTTGTTCAACAGACTATTTGAAAATAAATTTTCGGATAACCACCTGCCTTTCTTAAAACCATCAAAATATTCTAGAACTTATAATCAATATCAAGAAGATATAAATTAATTTATATAAGCTAAGGGCGGTTTTATGGGTTTTATTATAAATAAAAATTAATTTTCTTTATTTTGACTTAGAAGAGTTTGTCTAATATATAATTTATTGTTGCAGCGAAGGCTAGTGTAATTATTAAATTAATTTAATGTAATGAGCAGCTTAAATAGATATTTGATAACATTCGTAAAGAAAAATAATAACTAAAAAACTATTAAAAGTGGAATATAATATTTAATAGGGCTTTTAAATTTTATTTCCAATTTATATAAAAATAATGATGATTTTTTGCAAAATTTTAAGTCTAATCATAGTGGTTGACCTCATATTGAAGAAAATTTACAATGTTCTTCCAACATAATGTAATTAATTCATTCAGAAACTGTAGAAGGTGAAATTCTAACAGAAACTAAAATATATTTAGAGACAACTTCATATTCTGAGAATTGGCTTGGAAAGGGTTTATATATTACATAAAAATATGCTAGAGTTTTAAAGTAATAAAGAAAATTAAAATAGGGGGAGGTTAGATAAATATTCTTTAGATTTAAAATAATTCATAACAGCAAGAAAAGATAAAATTTTTACTCTTAGGTCTGCTAAAATTTAGGAGCAAATAAAGATAATTGATGATGGTTTATAACTATTTAAGAAAGGAATGGACTTTTCGAATTAAAAACAAATAAATTATCTATTTCATACACAACAAGTTCATAAGCAGTAATAAAACTTTCTTAGCTTTGTTACATATTATTTTAGATTCTAAATTTAATAAAATGCTTTAGTTTTTAATATATAAGTAATCAGTTATATTTTAAATAAAATGAAATAATATTGAACAATTAAACCCTTGTCTTATAAGAATTGAATATTGGAGTTCTGGTGTTTGTTATGCAAACTGTGAATGATTAAAGAGTCGAAATTGGACTCTATCTGAATTTTAATTCTATTTAAAGATTCTCATGAATAAGAAGATTGTTTTAATGTTATTCTTTGACTTTATATAAAATCTAATTAAACTAATTCCATTTTATTTTAATAAATAAAAAATTAAATTTTTCTATATGTTGTAATAAACTTTAACAAACTTGAAAATTAAAAAATTATGCTAAGAACTTTTTAGATTTGCTGAAAGTTATTGATTGCTCTTAAGCTTAATGATTTGTTATTACTTAAGCATATATCCATTTTAATTATTCATTTTTTCTATATATTCTTAATGTATTTGTAACAACTTCATGATAATTTACTTTTATTATTCAATAATAAATAGTCAAATTGGCTTGTAATAACTTAATGTTTATTGATGGTATTTTCTTGAATATAATCCTTTCATCCTGCTTACAATTAAAGTAAAATAATTAGTAATACTGAGCTTTTGACAAATGCCATAGACAGGGTCGGAACAAAAACAGATTATATTTCAGAAAACAATAAAATTTTTTCAATGGATAATTATCAAAACAGCAAAAGAGGTAGGTAATTAAAGTATAAATTTTTTTAAAGAAATATTTTAACTTTTCTGGTCATCACAAGGCTGTTGGCTACTGAATTCAATCCTTAATTGGTTGTGGGGCATTTTAACCAAAAGAGGAACAAGAATGCATATAAATCTTTTACCTATTGTGAATTTTTATCAAATAAACAAAGAAGATTTCATATTGTTTATTGCTTTCAAATAGAGAGAATAGTTCTGCTATTGATATCTTTGGAAAAGGCAAAGAAATAGTTCTAGTTGGTTTTGTTATATTTTAGCCTAAATAAAGTAGCAGCTAAATAAATTGTAATTCAAGAACTGGTGCAAGTAATTTCAAATAGATCAAAATAATCAACCAAAAATTTAAAGTTGGTATAAATTAAATTAGCCAAAATCAAAACCTTTAAAAGTAATAGATGACTAATACTACTAGTAATAAAAATATGAAACCAGGAAATTTGATTATCTCTGATTATTAAAAATTTCAAAATTCAAAAAACCTGTANAATTAATTTTCTTTATTTTGACTTAGAAGAGTTTGTCTAATATATAATTTATTGTTGCAGCGAAGGCTAGTGTAATTATTAAATTAATTTAATGTAATGAGCAGCTTAAATAGATATTTGATAACATTCGTAAAGAAAAATAATAACTAAAAAACTATTAAAAGTGGAATATAATATTTAATAGGGCTTTTAAATTTTATTTCCAATTTATATAAAAATAATGATGATTTTTTGCAAAATTTTAAGTCTAATCATAGTGGTTGACCTCATATTGAAGAAAATTTACAATGTTCTTCCAACATAATGTAATTAATTCATTCAGAAACTGTAGAAGGTGAAATTCTAACAGAAACTAAAATATATTTAGAGACAACTTCATATTCTGAGAATTGGCTTGGAAAGGGTTTATATATTACATAAAAATATGCTAGAGTTTTAAAGTAATAAAGAAAATTAAAATAGGGGGAGGTTAGATAAATATTCTTTAGATTTAAAATAATTCATAACAGCAAGAAAAGATAAAATTTTTACTCTTAGGTCTGCTAAAATTTAGGAGCAAATAAAGATAATTGATGATGGTTTATAACTATTTAAGAAAGGAATGGACTTTTCGAATTAAAAACAAATAAATTATCTATTTCATACACAACAAGTTCATAAGCAGTAATAAAACTTTCTTAGCTTTGTTACATATTATTTTAGATTCTAAATTTAATAAAATGCTTTAGTTTTTAATATATAAGTAATCAGTTATATTTTAAATAAAATGAAATAATATTGAACAATTAAACCCTTGTCTTATAAGAATTGAATATTGGAGTTCTGGTGTTTGTTATGCAAACTGTGAATGATTAAAGAGTCGAAATTGGACTCTATCTGAATTTTAATTCTATTTAAAGATTCTCATGAATAAGAAGATTGTTTTAATGTTATTCTTTGACTTTATATAAAATCTAATTAAACTAATTCCATTTTATTTTAATAAATAAAAAATTAAATTTTTCTATATGTTGTAATAAACTTTAACAAACTTGAAAATTAAAAAATTATGCTAAGAACTTTTTAGATTTGCTGAAAGTTATTGATTGCTCTTAAGCTTAATGATTTGTTATTACTTAAGCATATATCCATTTTAATTATTCATTTTTTCTATATATTCTTAATGTATTTGTAACAACTTCATGATAATTTACTTTTATTATTCAATAATAAATAGTCAAATTGGCTTGTAATAACTTAATGTTTATTGATGGTATTTTCTTGAATATAATCCTTTCATCCTGCTTACAATTAAAGTAAAATAATTAGTAATACTGAGCTTTTGACAAATGCCATAGACAGGGTCGGAACAAAAACAGATTATATTTCAGAAAACAATAAAATTTTTTCAATGGATAATTATCAAAACAGCAAAAGAGGTAGGTAATTAAAGTATAAATTTTTTTAAAGAAATATTTTAACTTTTCTGGTCATCACAAGGCTGTTGGCTACTGAATTCAATCCTTAATTGGTTGTGGGGCATTTTAACCAAAAGAGGAACAAGAATGCATATAAATCTTTTACCTATTGTGAATTTTTATCAAATAAACAAAGAAGATTTCATATTGTTTATTGCTTTCAAATAGAGAGAATAGTTCTGCTATTGATATCTTTGGAAAAGGCAAAGAAATAGTTCTAGTTGGTTTTGTTATATTTTAGCCTAAATAAAGTAGCAGCTAAATAAATTGTAATTCAAGAACTGGTGCAAGTAATTTCAAATAGATCAAAATAATCAACCAAAAATTTAAAGTTGGTATAAATTAAATTAGCCAAAATCAAAACCTTTAAAAGTAATAGATGACTAATACTACTAGTAATAAAAATATGAAACCAGGAAATTTGATTATCTCTGATTATTAAAAATTTCAAAATTCAAAAAACCTGTACCTTAGTATTTTCTAGGGTTGAATTTGAAACACCTTGAGATCATTTACTATCAGCAGTTCAAGATAGGTGATTTAATAAGATAAATTTTTATATTATACTGTATAAGTTGCAAAGTATTTCGGTTTATATGTACTACTAAAAGAAGAGATATTTGGAAGCAGTCAAAATTCAAGAACAACAATTTTAAAAGTTCTAATTATATCAAATAATAAATATTGACTGCTATTTATCACTACTCTAATACTAAAGAAAATAGAAATAGATTTTTGTAATAAGGATTCAAGTTGGAAATAATGACAATTAGATGATCTAATGATATTTAATTAAAATATTTACAAGTTAAATATTTAAATATAGGAAATTTTATATCTAAAAATCATTAATTTATGATCTTATAAAACACATTTGACTCATAATTTGAAAAGAAATAAAAAGAGAAAAAGCAATTTATTAGAATCATGACAAGAACATTTTTATAAATTCTTCAAGTAGTAAACTTTTAATCAAGAATTTCATATAAGTATAATTTAGTAAAAATTCATCAATATTCGAAATATATTCATAAGAGAAATTAATAGAGTGAGATATCAGGATAGTTGGTAAAATATTGGTTGTAAAAAAAGGAATTGAGTTTAGAAAAAATTTAAAAATTAATAATCAGAAAATTTATAGAGAACAGAGATAAGTAAATACTAGTTTATTAGAAAAGCAAAAAGTATTGTTTTACTAATAATTTAAAAAATCTTGAAGATGTTGTAACTAATAATAATCAAGGTAAAATTTAATTGAAAATAAAAATAGCATACACATTATATAAATTAAATCGATATGAAGAAGCACTAGAATATTATGATTATGCAATTTTAGAAAAACCTCAAGACGATATTGGTTATCATTACAAAGGTAAATTTAATCGAGAATAAAATATAGGAATTACGTTATATAAATTAAACCGATTTGAAGAAGCATTATAATATTATGATTATGCAATTTTAAAAAAACCTCAGGACGATGTTGCTTATAATTATAAAGGTAAAATTTATTAGTGAATAAAATATAGGATTTACATTATTTAAGTTAAACCGATTAGAAGAAGCATTATAATATTATGATTATGCAATTTAAAAAAACCCCAAAAATGCTCAAACTTACAATAATAAAGGTAAAAAATAATCAATAATAAAATATAGGAATTGCATTAAATGAATTAAATCGAGTTGAAGAAGCATTATAAAATTATGATAATGCAATTAAAATAAGCCCTGATTATTACCTAGCTTTGATGAATAAAGGTAAAATTTAATACAAAATATAGGAACTATATTATTTAAGTTAAGCCGATTTGAAGAAGCATTATAACATTATGATTATGCAATTTAAAAAAATCCTGAGAATTCCAATCCTTTTTATTATAAAGGTAATATTATTAATAAATAAAATATAGCCAATATGTTAGTGAAATTAAATCGATTTTAAGAAGCATTAGATTATTATGATTATGCAATTTAAAAAAACCCTGATGATTTTAATATATTATTGGAGAAAGGTAACATTATACAATAAATTATAGCGAATACATTATAAAAATTAAATAGGTTTGAAGAAGCACTATAATATTATGATTATGCAATTCAAAAAAACCCTGAAATAGCTAAAACTTATCATAATAAAGGTAAAAAAATTAGACAATAAACTATAGCAAGTGCACTATAAACATTAAATCGATTTGAAGAGGCATTATAGTTTTATAATTATGCAATTTAAAAAAATCCTGAAGATTTTAATGCATTATTGGAGAAAGGTAAAATTATACAATAAATAATAGCGAATACATTATAAAAATTAAATAGATTTCAAGATGCATTATAATTTTATCATTATGCAATTTAAAAAAATCCTGAAGAATTTATTGCTTATAATAACATAGCGAATACATTATAAATATTAAATAGACTTGAAGAAGCATTAGAATATTATGATCATGCGATTAAAAAAAATCCTGAAGATTCCAATCCATTCTTAAATAAAGGTAAAACTTATTCTATAATGAAATCTAGCCAATACATTAGATTAATTAAATCGATTTGAAGAAGCATTAGAATATTATGATTATGCAATTTAAAAAAATCCTAATCATTCCTATCCTTTTTATTATAAAGGTAATAATATTAAAAAATGAATTATAGCCAATACGTTAGTTAAATTAAATCGATTTTAAGAAGCATTAGATTATTATGATTATGCAATTTAAAAAAATCCTGAAGATTCCAATCCATTCTTAAATAAAGGTAAAACTTATTATATAATGAAATATAGCGAATACATTATATTAATTAAATCGATTTGAAGAAGCATTAGAATATTATGATTATGCAATTTAAAAAAATCCTAATCATTCCTATCCTTTTTATTATAAAGGTAATAATATTAAAAAATGAATTATAGCCAATACGTTAGTTAAATTAAATCGATTTTAAGAAGCATTAGATTATTATGATTATGCAATTTAAAAAAATCCTGAAGATTCCAATCCATTCTTAAATAAAGGTAAAACTTATTATATAATGAAATATAGCGAATACATTATATTAATTAAATCGATTTGAAGAAGCATTAGAATATTATGATTATGCAATTTAAAAAAATCCTAATCATTCCTATCCTTTTTATTATAAAGGTAATAATATTAAAAAATGAATTATAGCCAATACGTTAGTTAAATTAAATCGATTTTAAGAAGCATTAGATTATTATGATTATGCAATTTAAAAAAATCCTGAAGATTCCAATCCATTCTTAAATAAAGGTAAAACTTATTCTATAATGAAATCTAGCCAATACATTAGATTAATTAAATCGATTTGAAGAAGCATTATAATATTATGATTATGCAATTTAAAAAAATCCTAATCATTCCAATCCTTTTTATTATAAAGGTAATATTATTAAAAAATGAAATATAGCTAATACTTTAGATAAATTAAATCGATTTTAAGAAGCATTAGATTATTATGATTAAGCAATTTAAAAAAATCCTGAAGATTTTTGTGCATTTATAGAGAAAGGTAAAATTATACAATAAATAATAGCGAATACATTATATTAATTAAATAGATTTGAAGAATCATTAGAATATTATGATCATGCAATTTAAAAAAATCCTGAAAATGCTAATATTTATAATAATAAAGGTATCATTAAATCTAAAATAAAATATAGCATGTGTATATTATATGTTAAATAGATTTGAAGAATCATTAGAATATTATGACCATGCAATTTATAAAAATCCTGAAGATGCTAAAATTTATAATAATAAAGGTATCATTAAATCTAAAATAAAATATAGCATGTGCATTATTTATGTTAAATAGATTTGAGGAAGCATCATAATATTGTGATTAGGCATTTTAAATGAATCCTGAAAATGCTCATTATTATCATAATAAAAGTAAAATTTAATCAAGGATAAAATCTAGTAATCACATTACATAAGTTAAATCGATTTGAAGAAGCATTATATTGTTGCGATAATGAAATCGAAAAAAATCCTGAGGATTCCAATCCATTCTTAAATAAAGGTAAAACTTATTATATAATGAAATATAGCGAATACATTAGATTAATTAAATCGATTTGAAGAAGCATTATAATATTATGATTATGCAATTTAAAAAAATCCTAATCATTCCAATCCTTTTTATTATAAAGGTAATATTATTAAAAAATGAAATATAGCTAATACTTTAGATAAATTAAATCGATTTTAAGAAGCATTAGATTATTATGATTAAGCAATTTAAAAAAATCCTGAAGATTTTTGTGCATTTATAGAGAAAGGTAAAATTATACAATAAATAATAGCGAATACATTATATTAATTAAATAGATTTGAAGAATCATTAGAATATTATGATCATGCAATTTAAAAAAATCCTGAAAATGCTAATATTTATAATAATAAAGGTATCATTAAATCTAAAATAAAATATAGCATGTGTATATTATATGTTAAATAGATTTGAAGAATCATTAGAATATTATGACCATGCAATTTATAAAAATCCTGAAGATGCTAAAATTTATAATAATAAAGGTATCATTAAATCTAAAATAAAATATAGCATGTGCATTATTTATGTTAAATAGATTTGAGGAAGCATCATAATATTGTGATTAGGCATTTTAAATGAATCCTGAAAATGCTCATTATTATCATAATAAAAGTAAAATTTAATCAAGGATAAAATCTAGTAATCACATTACATAAGTTAAATCGATTTGAAGAAGCATTATATTGTTGCGATAATGAAATCGAAAAAAATCCTGAGGATTCCAATCCATTCTTAAATAAAGGTAAAACTTATTATATAATGAAATATAGCGAATACATTATATTAATTAAATCGATTTGAAGAAGCATTAGATTATTATGATTATGCAATTTAAAAAAATCCTGAAGATTCCAATCCATTCTTAAATAAAGGTAAAACTTATTATATAATGAAATATAGCGAATACATTATATTAATTAAATCGATTTGAAGAAGCATTAGATTATTATGATTATGCAATTTAAAAAAATCCTGAAGATTCCAATCCATTCTTAAATAAAGGTAAAACTTATTATATAATGAAATATAGCGAATACATTATATTAATTAAATCGATTTGAAGAAGCATTAGATTATTATGATTATGCAATTTAAAAAAATCCTGAAGATTCCAATCCATTCTTAAATAAAGGTAAAACTTATTATATAATGAAATATAGCGAATACATTATATTAATTAAATCGATTTGAAGAAGCATTAGATTATTATGATTATGCAATTTAAAAAAATCCTGAAGATTCCAATCCATTCTTAAATAAAGGTAAAACTTATTATATAATGAAATATAGCGAATACATTATATTAATTAAATCGATTTTAAGAAGCATTAGATTATTATGATTATGCAATTTAAAAAAATCCTGAAGATTCCAATCCATTCTTAAATAAAGGTAAAACTTATTATATAATGAAATCTAGCCAATACATTAAATTAATTATATCGATTTGAAGAAGCATTAGATTATTATGATTAAGCAATTTAAAAAAATCCCGAGGATTTCAATCCTTTTATTTATAGAGGTAAAATTCTAAAAGAATGAAATATAGCGAATACATTATATTAATTAAATCGATTTGAAGAAGCATTAGAATATTATGATCATGCAATTTTGAAAAGTCCCCAGTGTTGTTACCTAGCTTTTGTAAATAAAGGTGTAATTATAATCGTAAATACCCTATAGCACTAACATTAATAAAGTTAAATCGATTTGAAGAAGCATTATATTACATCAATTCAGCAATTTAAAGTAATCCTGAAGATTTTACAGCATTTTCCCATAAAGGTAAATTTAAATAAATATTACAATTAAGCAATTGCATTGTATTGCTTAAATAAATTTGAAGAAGCATTAGAATATTTTGATTATGCAATTTAAATAATTCCTGGAGATTTCCCTCTTTTATTAAATAGAGGTAAAACTTTTTTAAATTGAATAATAGCAAATGCACTATATAAATTAGGTCGATTTGTAGATGCCTTATAATATTATGATTATGCAATTTAATAAAATCCTGAAGATTTCAATCCTTTTTTAAATAAAGGTAAAACTATTTAAAATTGAATATAGCAAATGCACTATATAAATTAAATCGATTTGAGGAAGCATTAGAATATTATGATTATGCAATTTAAAAAAATCCTAAAAATTATAGAGCCTGTTATAATAAATGTAAAAGTTATTTAATTTTCTAATATAGCATTTTTATTAAATTACTTAAATAGATTTGAAGAAGCAAAATATTATTATTATTAAGCAATTCAAAATAAACTTTAAGATGATTAAAGAGATAAGTTCATTAATGATTCATAATATGAATCAATTCAAATTAATTGAAAATAATCAATATTTTTTTTTCAATTGTTTTTATTTTTTGGTTTTGCTCAAAAATGAGTGATTGTTACACAGGAGCAGAACATGGAATAAAATGGCATTTTACTGATTGTGTGAATACTTTTTATGAAAAATAACAAATATTGGGATAGCCTAATTGGGGTTTAGTCATGAACTGCCTAATTCTACGAAATACTGATGTGGCAGTAATGGGTATGGTTTGGGTTTGTCCACTAGTAGGTTTAATTCAGCAGTCACATTAAGTTGAATTCTCTTCACACGAGAAAAAAAAATGTTTAAAAAAGGGTTTGGGGTTGGTAAAGATAGCATATAATTATATTAATATATATTATATATACTATGTACGGTTGGTGTTCAGGCAAGTGGTTCCCCAAAGGGTTTGGGTTTGGGTTTGGGTTTGGG